CTCGCCCGCCAGCGAGGAGGAGGCCGGCAGCGAGGTGCTGAGCCACTGCAGCAGCGCCAGCGAGGGGGCCAGCGCCGCCGAGGAGGGCGCAGGTGAGCCCCGGGGGCTGCCCCGCCGTCGCCTTTGTGTCCCCCCGTGGGTGGCGGTGCTGCTGCTGTAGGGCCCCACCCGTGGGCCCCCGCCTTTGCGCCCGGGCACCTCCGTGACGTGGGTGCCACCCCGGCAGGGAGTGAGGCGGCGGGTGAGCCGGGCCAGGAGGAGGAGGCCGAGGACAGGCTGAAGGAGCACATGGACAACCTCCTGGACAAGAGGTGAGGAGCGGTTGCCACCCCCCGCGGGCACGCGTGGCACTCTGCCTGTCCCTGCCGGCGCTGCCAGCCGGGGGCAGGGACATGCCCCGTCCCAGGCCACCCCACCCCCTGACCTCCTGCCATCTCTCGCAGTGCCAAGACACGTCAGGCGGCACTGCAGAGCCTGCGCCTGGCCTTCTCCTCCAAAACCCTTTCCGAGTTCCTGCTGGAGCGCCGCCTCATGCTCACCGACTCCCTGGAGAAGTGTCTCAAAAAAGGTCTGGGTGCAGGCGAGTGCCAGGGCTGGGGTGGCGGGGCCGGTGTCCAGTGTCTGAGGGAGATCTCTCGTGCTGCCCGCAGGTAAAGGGGAGGAACAGGCGCTGGCGGGCACTGTCCTCACCCTCCTCTGCCTCCAGATGGGCTCCGGGCCGGAGGGGGAAGAGGTGTTTCGCAGCCTGAAGCCCCTGCTCGTCAGTGTTCTGACAGACAGCATGGCCAGCCCTGGCGCCCGGCAGAGTGTAAGGCCTGGCCTCTTTCCTCCTGGGCATAGGGGGCACCTTGGCAGTGGGGAGAGACTAGGCGATGCCTTCGGGGGCTCCTGCAGTGGCGGGAGGGCATCAGAATTGGGTGCTGTGGGGAGTAGTGGGGTACAGTAGGAGTACCCCAATCCTGCTTCCCCTTGGTTGGGCGCTGGATCTGGCCCAGCGCTGCCTCCTCTGACTGCCATTTCCCCACATCTCTCACCAGTGTGCCACGGCCCTGGGCATGTGTTGCTACATTGCTGCTGCTGACCTCGAGGTAACTGTGATGGGGTGTCATCTGTACCCCTGCCGGGGGGCACCCTGGGGGCTGCCATGCCACCCACCCTCAGCTCACGGTGCTGCGGCAGTTTGGAGCTGAGCCGGGGAAGGGGCACAGGGGACATCAGTGACAGCCCAGGCCCCTTCCCCGGGCAGCATGGAGCTGAGTTGGGGGGGCAGGAAGCTATCCTCACAGAGATGGAGTGTCCCAGGTGAAGGAGTCTCTTCTTCCACCAGGAGCTCTGGGTGCCCCTGGGCAGGGTGGGTCCCCATCAGTCCCCAGTGTCTGGCATCTTCCTGGCAGTTGTGGTCTGACAGGCAGGTTTCCCCTCTCCAGGACCTGGTCTCATGTCTGTCCTGCTTGGAGGGCATCTTCAGCCCCCCCAGTGCAGGTGAGGGGGGCTCAGCACCCACCCAGCACGGCCCTCTGCACTGCAGCGCGCTCCAGTCATGGTCCCTGCTCCTCACCATCTGCCCCCCCTCCCACATCAAGAGTGTCTTGGACAAGTGAGTGGGGCGTGGGAGATGTGGGGGCTTGTGTGGGGCAGCTGGCTGCAGAGTGGGGAGCTGCTGGAGTGGCACCCAGCCCCCCTGACTGCCCTCCTGCCTTCCTGTCCCAGTCGTTGGCTGAAGCTGCCCCCGCTGCTGTCCAGCAGCAGCGTCGCACTGCGCATCCTGGCTGGGGAAACCATCGCGCTGGTCTTTGAGCTGGCCCAGGATGTGGAGGTATGGCAGGCGCTGTGGTGGCAGCGGGTGGGCAGGCAGGAGAGTGGCAGGGAGCTGCTGGCACCAATACCCTGCTCGTGCCCTGGCTGAGATGGCACTGATGTCGTTGGGCCGCTCCAGGCTGATGTCACCAGCCAGTGCCCAGGCAGAGGGGCTGGACCCAGTGATCCCACAGCCCTGTCCTGGTGAGGGCAGCCATGGACAGTGCCTGGAGCCATGTCCCCTCCAAACCCCCCTGGTTTTTTGGCAGGAGGATTTGTGCCACCAAGATACAGAGTTCCTGCGTGCCCAGCTCAAGGTCCTGGCTACCGAGAGCAACAAGTACCGAGCCAAGACAGACCGACGGAAGCAGCGCTCCATTTTCCGGGACATCCTGCGCTTCATCGAGGTACTGGTGGCTGGCGGTGCCCTTCTCTGCTGAGCCCCCAGCTGTAGGGCTGCTGCCCAGCTGCCTGGCAATTCCCCTCAACTGGGAGCTGGGGGACGCAGAGGGCTGGCGCCCAGGTTATTGCTGATGCCCCTCTCTCCATTCAGAGTGGGGAGTACCAGGAGGAGACCATCCGATTTGGCCTAGAGTGCATGTACCTGGACAGCTGGGCACGCCAGCGAACCTACCAAGCCTTTAAAGAGGTGCTGGGCTCCGGCATCCGCCACCACCTCCAGGTAGGAGCTGGGTGACCGTGCCAGGGGATACCAGGCCAATGCCAGAGGGTGCTGACAAGCCCCTGCTTCCGCAGAACAATGAGCTGCTACGGGAGATCTTCGGCCTTGGGCCCCCCTTGGTGCTGGATGCGGCTGCTCTGAAAGCCAGCAAGGTCTCCCGCTTCGAGAAGGTGGGTGCCGCCACCCAGTTTGTGCCCACAGTCTCTTCCTGTACTGCTGTGGGCTCCAGCCTAGCACTTGAACTTGGTGGGTTCTGGTGGGGAGGTGGGCAGAGAGGCACCCCCTAACCCATCTCTCGTTCCCTCCCCTCCCAGCACCTCTACAACTCGGCTGCCTTCAAAGCCCGCACGAAAGCCCGGAGCCGGGTGCGGGACAAGCGGGCGGACGTGCTGTGACGGGCGGACGGGCGGAGGGGGTCAGAGCCCCCAGCCCACCTGGACTGCAGACCCAGCACTGTGAGGGGCCAGTGCCCCCAGCCCTCGGGCTTTTATTCATGTACAGCAGAGTATTTAATGCCTGGAGCTGCCCCACCAGGGGCTGCCCCCTCTTTTATTTTTTTAACCAAAAAAAGAAGAAGGATAAAAGAAGAGCAGGGGGGGAGGTGGTGGTGTGCTGCTGTGTGCCTGCTCTGCGGCTGGGGCTCTGCCTGGCACGGTGGGAGGGGGTTTCACAGGGCCCCTTTCAGAGGCAGGGCTCTTTTCCCCAGTCCCACGGGGGCTCTGGGGTGGCCTGGCACAGCCTGAAGGGCTGGGCGGGAGGGCACAGCTGTGCAGGGCTGCGGGGCAGCTGACCCTGGTGTCTGTGCCTGTGGCAGGAGTGCTCCCCCAGCTCCCCCCTGCCTTGCTGGGCACAGTCCCTGCCTCCGCAGCTGGCCTGGCACCCAGGGGTGGAGGCAGAGCAGTGTGGGGGGCAGGCTCAGCCCAGCCCTGCCAGCTGCCTGCTCTGAGCCCTTTTCCAGCCAAATGCTTTATATGAAATAGTCCTCTTGTGGGAAATTAATTACAGGGGGGTGGCACAGCGGGCGAGTCCCAGTGCTGCCTGTGCAGCCTTGGGGGCCGCTGCCTGGGCAGGTATGGGGCTGTGCCAGCTGGGCGTGCCTACCACCCCGGGAATGTATCTATGGTGGTGATTTTCTAAGACTTTCTTTACAAGAGATAATTAAAAGGCTAATGGGAGGGTGCCTTCTGCCTTGTTAAGAGGAAGGGCTGTCACTGGGGTGGGTGCTGCTTCTTGCAGCCCTGTCCCTTCCTCTTGCAACCTGGGGTGGGGGCCAGGATTGCCCCAGTCACCCCCTGCGCCCCATGGGGCGATGCTGCCAGGTCTGAGCAGGATGGGGGGGTGGTAGGGCTGCCTGCTCCCCCCTCCCAACCTTCGGTGCCCCTTCCCCTGGTGGCCTGGTGCCCATGGTGGGGCCAGAGCAGCTCAGCGGTGCCCGCCGGGCTCGGCGCTGGCGTTGAGACGAGCCCAGAGCTGCACACTGGCTGCCCGCAGCTGGTGCACCGCGTCCTCCTGGCTCTCCAGCCACTGGGCCAGCGCCCGCACCGACTGGCTCTGCAGGACTGTGGGGAGAGGATGGGGACACGCTGAGGACAGGCGGCCTGGCCCTCCCGCAGCCCCCCCTGGCCCCCCACCCTGCCCAGTGCCACATACCACTCAGGTAGAGGGCCAGTGTGGCCAGGACCAGGCTCGCCAGGGCCAGGAGGCCCAGCAGGGCCAGGAGCAGGGGGTGGCTGGGCCCGAGACAGGGGCAGGGGCTGGCGGCAGGCACAGGGCGCAGGGTGGGCAGGAGCGGCAGGGGGCCGGGGGGCACAGGGCGAGGTGGGGGCCGGTGCAGGCTGCTGGAGGGAGCTGGGCCGTTGCCTGTGGGCAGGGGAGAGAAGAGATCAGAGCCCAACTGCCATCATGGCCGGGGCTGGTGCTGGCCCCCCTCCCGGTGCTCTCACCCTCGGTGCCCTTCTGCCCGCCCAA